AAACATGATTTAATCAATTCTGACTATTCTGATCTGACAAGCACCTTCATTTGGAGGCTAGTTATTCAGCTGTCCATGGAATATTCACGGATCCTACAAGATATTTAACTTTCTGTCTATACTTGCCAGAGATTTCCACGAGTCTGATAGGGCCTGTTGCCTGCTATGCATGTAAGAATAGTATTAACCTTTTAGGAGTAATAGAGCAGAATCAAATTATGAGCTATAGTCAAACAAGCTTTTTAAAACTTATACAGAGGGTTTGTTGTTTCTCCAAGTGTGGGGGAGATTCCCTCTCCCAGAGGGAGGGCTGCTGAGGAGTCATATGTGGGACACAGTTCTAAATATTCCTCTTGTGTAGGACGCTTGCCTATGATCAAAGGCATTTGTGGTTAGTAAATTTAAATTTTGCACCTCTCTCTAATTTAAAACTGAGGAGCCATCTGAATGCCAGTGGTGCCAATCAGTATTTCTCTGCTACCTCTCTTGCTTGCTCATATTTTTTACAACCTTACCTGACTTAGATTTGCCTGGCTTATGTGTGTTATTCCAATATCATTTGAATTTGCTTATGTAAAGAATGCTAATTGAGTGGAAAAAATAATCACTTCAGTTTACTGAAGTGCTTGCAAATGTGGGTTGCCACTTTTGCTTGGATTTTGCAGCAGAGTTTGAGGTCAGATCATTTGATATTTGGCAAATATAGTATAATTATCATCTTATTTATACTGAAATTTTCTGATTCTGTCTAATCATGCAGAGTTTCACTAGCTGCTGTTGCAATATCTACTGTAGCACCGAACATTTTTAAATGCAGCTGGGCCATATTGTTTTGTTGACAGGTTTTAACTGTGATGTGAAAATTGGTTCACTTAGTACCCTCTCTCCAACTTGCCTGTTAAAATGTTAGATTTCTTTTTGATGAATAACCCTTTGGAGTGGAGTGGAGAGTTTTCTCATGGTAGAGGAGAAGACGACTGAATGCCACAATGATGGACATAGGGTGTCTAAATAATCCAAATAATTAGTGCTGGTGCCATTGTCATGGACAAAGGACAACATTTTCATCATTCTGACAGGGACACTGGCTGCCCCAAAGCGAAAGGCACTTGAGTAGCCCTTCCTCTTGTTTCAGCTACAGTCTGCCATGTGGGGCTGTGCATGGGGTGGGCATCCCAGGCAAGATCACAGGTGAGGTATCCTTGTGGAGCAGGGAGCCAGCCCTGGGGATTCATGACTCAGCTCCCATTCAGCTGGGGGGCTTAATTCACCTTAAAAATCATGAGATTGAAAGCATAATGAAGTCTAGGTTGATATTTATTCTAGATATCTTCCTCAAATGATGAAAATATGATAGATATGATATGAAGAGGTTCATCAAATGAGCTAGAAATATCACCTCTCACATTTTGTATTTTCTTTTTTTTTTTTCCAAAGAAAGATGAGATTTAGCTATGATCATTCCAGAGAATGGATTTTTTCCTAAAACTTCTAAAAGAGTCTGGAGAATCCGCAGTAAGTTACACAAGAGCTGGTAGCAGTAGAAAGGCACAGTTTCAGCTTTGAGATGTGCCACTCAACTCGTCCCCTTTGCTCATGGCTATTCCCATCAGCGTGCCCTCGGCAGGGCGGGAGGCCCGGAGAGCGTAGGTGGTGCTTCTGCAGCGACTAGGGCCAAAAAGGCCTGGACTCGGCCTGGGAAAGGAGGGGGCTGTGTGGGGAATGCCTCCCCAGGTCAGCAGTGCCTCATCAACATCCGTTAGGCCGGGTGGCTGCAACACTTTTGAGTCCTGCTG